GTTTGCACTCTTCCTGGATGATACCCTTGACATCCTCCCGCAACTCATCTGGTCTTAGTTTCTGAAATTGTAAATCCTAGAGAGAAAACTGCTCATCTTTTTCCCTCGGAGCCACCAGTGTATTCCAAAGGCCAGATATGTTGTGCCTTTTGAGTAAGCAATGCCATCATGCATTTCTGACTACACCATAAAGGTACCAAGATCAAAGTTCTAAAACCTGATAATGTGGTACTAAGCACCTTCATTTCTTAATATGTTGCCATCGTAAAAGCAATCATCAAAGATTAGGGTAGAGGAGGGTGGGAGCTCCCAAAAGGCCTGGATGAGCAAACTAAATGTAACACAGCCCAGAGTTCCAAAAGAGCTACTATATTTCAGAAATTTTTTAAAAATCTAATTAGTTCCTCCCCATTTCTCTATTTGGAAACCAAAATCCACTGTTACTGTGTCGATTTCAACTCACAGCAATCCTCTGTTGGGTCTCCCAGGCTATAAATCTTCACAGGAGAAGACTGCACATACTTCCCTCCCACAGCATTTGGTGAATTCAAATCACTGGCCTTTTGGTTTGCAGTGCATAATGCACTACACCACCAGGAGTCCTTTTCTAAGAGTTGTAAATGGGCACTATGGGAAGACTGCAATACTTAGAAGGAGCCATGAGTCCAAGGCTGCTGTCAACCAAAGGAAAAGACAGTGAAGAGGACACACAGAAATAGGGGACAGGCAAGACAGGGGGCTAACAGATGGGAGAACTGCAGCCCTATGCTAAGCCTTTCTCGGTTTTTATTAAGAATTATCAGGAAATAAACAAAGGGAAACCACAAGGGAGTAATAAATAAAAACAAAGGATTAGGGGGTTAAAATTTTTTTTTTATTTTAAAGTTCATGAGCGTTGGATTTCACACTATTTCTCATTCACATTTGCACATTAATCTTTAAACTGACATCTTTGCTCTTTAGCATTTGTTCTTTTTTTAAAGAATTTTTTTTTTATTTCAATGAACATCTACAGAGATTTTGGAATTCCATTCATTCATTGTTGCACTTTTCTCCACGCCCCTCCCCTTGAAAAGCATTTGTTCTTTTTTTAAAGAATTTTTTTTTTATTTCAGTGAACATCTACAGAGATTTTGGAATTCCATTCATTCATTGTTGCACTTTTCTCCACGCCCCACCCCACCCCTGTTTGCTCCTCTCCTTGAAAAGCAAAAGAAAAAACTCCTTCATTGGTACACAATCCCCCCACACACACCCCACCACCCTCACCCCCACCCCAAATATAATCCACTCTGCAACCCTCATTCCATACTTTTATGATAAACATATGCTCTAAAATATAATACTTTTTTGTAAAATGATCTTGTACTATGTAACCTTGCTAAATTCCTTTTTCTTAGTTACTTTGTAGATCCTTTAGGATTTTCTAAAAAGACTTTGATTTTGTCTGTAAATAAAAATTATGTATCCAGGGAGCTCTGGTGGCCTAGTTGCAAGACGCTGTGCTGCAATCCCAGAGGTACGCGGTTCAAATCCACCAGATGCTCTGCTGGAGAAGGAGGGGGCAATCTCCTCCTGTACCAGTCAGATCTGATTTGACGGTTCATGAGTTTTTCTTTTGCTTTTCAAGGAGAGGAGCAAATGGGGGGGG